CTCCAGATTCCAGAGCAGGAAGCAGCCAAGGAGGCCTGCACAGGCCTTCCTGTCCCCTCCTGGACCTGCTGGATCTGGGCAAGGGGTGGGGGTGGGGGAAGGAGACAGGAACAAGATTCCCCTTGGAGCTTAGTCCCCAGGCATACACTGTGTTTTGTTTCTAGTGTGACCTTAGAGGTGTTAAGAGCTCACTCCTCTCTCCTTCCCTCCCCTCCTCTCTCATTCCTCCTCCCCTAGACTACAAGCTATCTCATTGGCTCAGCCAGGTAGATACATACGGTCATCACCCAATGTCTTAAAGCCCTACATTCCTACAAATGTGCAGGATGAACCAGGGCTACCAAGAGAGGAGCCAATCTGGAGGTGAGATCTGGGATGGGGGAGCAGCACCTGGATCTGACCTGAGCACAAACTCCTCCAGCTGACAAAAGGTGATTGCAACTTCCAGGAAAAAAATAAAGACAATATTCTCAAACTGTTTCAGGCTTATGCTTTACACACCAAACTGAAATCTCAGGCAGTGGAACTACAGATCATGAATGTATATCATGTGTATGTGTAAATGTTTGCAGTTAGTGTCAGTTCTGCTTGAAACTGGGGTGTTTTCTGTGTGTTTGTGGGTCTGTGAGAAAGATTTTTTTTGAAAGCTGTTGTGGGTTTTGTTTCTTATGTTTCTTATGTACATTTATGTTAGTTATGTGCCTTGTGGGTAGGTGATTTGTGAGTTGCAATTTTATGTGTGTGTTTTAAAGACTTGGTTTAATATTTTTAATTATGTATATGGGGGGTAAGTATATGAGTGCTGGTTCCAGTGAGGCCAGAAGAGGGTGTTGGCTCTCCTGGATCAGGTGTTACAGGAGGGAATGAGCCACACAGTGGGTGCTGAGAACCGAACCCAGGTCCTCTGGAATTGCTGTAAAGGCTTCTAACTGCTGAGCCATCTCTCTGGCCCGTTGAGAGTGCTCAAGTTAGAACTAGGGCTTCAAGTGTGTGGGGGAAGTTGTTTATTACTTAATCACATCTTCAGGGTTAGGGTCACATGTAGGCCAGGCTGGCTTTGAACTTGAACTCCTCGTTGTCCTGTTTGTCTCTGTAGAGTGCTCCCAATACAGGTTTTCTGCAGCATTGAGTATGAAAGCCCCAGGCAAGCATTGTACCAACTAAGTCACACCCCTAGCCCAGAGGGCTACAAGTTGTCTGTAGTCTGTTTTGTTTGTAGTCCAACACGTATTTCACAGTTTGTACCCACGGTGTGTCTCCAACTCACTGTGGCTGTCGGTGGCCACGCTAGAGGCCATCCTGGGCTCTGAGGTCTGCATGTCCTTTTAGACTGGCATCGGTGGAGGTGGGCATTTGTGAGCAGGTGACAGAGTCATCTCAGGCTGGTAACTTGAGTATGTGAGCTGTATGGGTCACTTTTGAGTGTTTGGAGGTGTCAACACTAGGATTGGGGGGGGGGCTTCACTGTGTGCTGGTGTTTTCAGAGGAGGGAATTTCCTATCTTGTGAGGCCATTGGCTGTTGTGTGACCAGTGCCGGTTGGCTTTTGTGCTGAGTGGAGCCTGTCTGCGGTGTCCCCTTGCTGGCGGGTGCCACGCTGGCTTAGGGCTGGCTGTGGCAGCGGGCAGGGCAGGGCAGGGGCTGTGGTGGGCACTGGCCTTAAGCCCAGCCTCGGTATAAATATCCCCAGGCTGCCTGCTGCTGTTTACTCGCCCCGGCCCCAGCCCCGGGGGCGGCCCCAGCAGGGCCTGTTGGGGGTGGGGGGGTGGAGACCAGGCCACAGCACAGACATTTCCTTCTGCTCAGACAGGCCAGCAGCCTTGCTGTCCTCTCGTGGGTGGGTGCAAGGTGGTGACCCCTTGTTTTAGGTTCCTAGGGGCCACCATTGGAGCTCTGACCTGGATTTCCCAGGGTCTGGGAGGCAACAGCAGGGAAAGGGACAGGAAAAAGTGAGGGTGAAGGCTGGCAGGGGGAAGAGAGGGGCAGGCTACAGACACCGTAACAAGAGCTAAGAGAGAGACTGCAGGACAACAGGGAGAGAGAAATGTGTTTGAGGGCAGAGAGAGGATGGGAGACAAGCGGGGGGGGTGCGGGGAGCGAC